GTGGAATAGAGCCGCCTAATGAAGCTGAAATGATCCTTTTCCCGGCTTGAAAGTGCACGACAGGGGCACTGTTACTTTCCCAGACCAATTCGACTGCTTCAGTTTTTCCTCATTAGCAACATTCAGGTGTCCTTCCATCCGTGCTCTCTTAGCTATCCTCTCTTCTCCGAGCTCACTGTCCCAAGACCTCAGCACAAGAAATGATTATGCCGCAATCTTAGCGTTTTTTAAAGTAAGTTAAAAAGTGTATAAAGTATAAAGAAATCAGACGGCGAGATCCCAACCTGTGCTGATCCGGTGGTTCAGGAGGCGTCTTCTATCCTTTTTGATTACCCGCTTGTGGGCTAACTGCCGGAGTCTTCTGTTTGGCTTTAGGCCACTCCAAATAAGATCGATTGACTTCGAATAATCTTCTTCCACCCAGACCGAAGAGGGGGCGGAGCCGTTGCAGGTTCGGTTGTCGGTACCACAACTGCAAGTAAACTTTAAAGCTGAAAAGGCAAGGTAAGATTAGACGAATCAATGAGCACAGGTAATATAGGACTTGACCGTCCACTAGACACACTTGATAACCTTGGGTAACTGAATCATTTATTCAGAACATAGGTGAATCGACATGAGGGTGTAGGTTATTTGATGAATCGTAAAAACAACGAGTCTACCATAATTGGTATCTAAGTGAGAGATCTAGACAGGAGATCTTGGTAAGAGGATATTCAATAACAACTTATGACGAAATAGTGGGATAACTCCCAAAAGGGCATATGGGCACATGGCCAAAAATAAGAAGGCACTGGATAACATGTAGGATTATGTGAGCATAAGCATTTTTACAAGAATTTACAGCTGATCGGGCCTACCGGCGGCCTTTTAGTGCGGATCCCTTTCCGCACACTCCCGCCAGCGCTTTTTGTCGTATTCGTTGAGAATCGCGTTCAACTCCTGGCGCTCATCGGGCAAATTGCACAGTGCCTCATGGTGAGTTCTGTCACCACAATATCCACATCTTACAGTCTTCTCACACTTTTCCCCACAGCGGCTCCTCAAGCACCTTCTGCACATTTCTTCCTCTTTGATGAGGTCTCTCCTTTCCTTTACAGTGGGGAAGGTTGTGCAAGCGTCACTGGTATGTTTTCCGCGTTTTCGACAGAAGTCGCAAATCACCACACGTGCTCCGCTTGTACAAAGGGTAGTTTTTGAATCACCGATCTTTCTTGGTTGACATTCCCTCAAGTACTTCAGTTGTTGCTTGGCTTGTGATACCCTGGCAGGCGTCCTGTCAACGCTGACTCTTGCGACCTTTGCTGGATGGCGCGCTGTGACCTCGTCTGGGTCATATTCTCGTCCCTTGCGGATAATCTTCGAGCGCTGGGTCGCCTCTTCTATGCCTCTGAGAGACTCCTTTGGCGACTGCGCCTTCTGTGCCTTGTCCGGAGGGTAAGCCATTTGCATCACTTCCATGTCGTCTTCTAATAGGATGAGGGTATCTTCCTGCAGAGGCGTGCTATCATTCACCTCTACTGGCGGCTGCGGTTCCTTGACGTTTTGCTTCATTTGCTCCATCATTTGCTGAGCGATGGTTTTCAAAGCATTCTCGATTCGCTCTTCCATCTTATTCTGGAAATTCTCCATATCTTTTTTAAGCTCATCGAATCGGCTACTTTCTACAGCCTGCCATGTAATTATTGAATCGTCCAGTGCCTTTACTCTGGTTGAAATTTCCTTGGTCTTTTTAGCGACCTTTTCCATTTGGCCTTGCTTCCTTTCACCTTCCTGCCTTTCTTCCGTCGGCAGTGAGCTATCGTTATTGCAATCAACTTTGACCAGGTGGTTGACTTGGAGTTGCAGTTGTTTAACATGGTCGATCAGCGACTCCTGTTCGTTCCGTGCCCATGGTTGATAGCGAATCTCGCGAATCTCCGTAATCACATTACCGATTGATCGAAGCTCAGAGGTTATGTAGACTCGCGTAGATGTTTTGTCGATCGGCCTTCCACTCTCCAGAATCTTAGCTGCAAAGTGGTCTTTTTTGGAGACCATAGCCACCTTCGCCTTCACCATCTCGTCATAGGTGTTCCATAGAAGCTCAGATACGTAGCCAGCGCAGTGAAGATTCGTCTGCAACTCCGTCAACTGCTGATCGAATATACGTCTCTTGTTGTAAGCCTTCATCGGTGAGACATTTGCAGTGACGAAGGTGGACTCGGCTTCACGGTACTGCCCGACAACATCCTCGGCTCTCTTCAGAAGCTTGTCGATACCATTATTAATTGCCATGAGGTGTTCCTGGAGGATCTTGTCGTTAATGACCGCACGTGGACGCAGGGCAATCTGCTGGAGCAGCTTCTTCACATCATCCATTTGAGCTTCCATGCTGAAATCAGAAACATTAGTAGGTGAATCTCCATACTTATTTTCTTCAAGAATATTATTCTTTTTAGTAATGATATTAATATTAAGTATGGGTTTTGGTTTCCTTGGCCTCAAGTTATAGGGATGTTGGTGTTCAACTCGTGGAGTATGTTCCTGTTCCTGTTGTTGAGATTCGGTAGTGTCGTCGAGCTCCAATGGCACGAGTAAACTTATCGGTCGTTTGATTCTATTCTTCTGGCCTGTCGATAAGTTCAACTTCTCGGATTTCCCCTTCCTTATCCTTAACGAGACGGGTGATCCTTCCTAGTTTCCAATAGTTTCTAGGTTGAAGTTCTTCCTGGATAAGCACTATTGCTCCTAGTTTTGGCAGGATAGTCGTTGTTTTCCCTTGCGAAAGCATATCTTTATGATGTTCGCGGAGCGACGTTATGTAGTGCCTTCGCCAGATTTCCCAGAATTTATTTGTTATATCGCAGGAACTTTTGAGAGCCTTTTGAGCTTCAAGTCGTGTTTTTAACACCGCTCTTTGTTCTGAAGGCAAGTAAGTCTGGTCCTTCATTTCTTCGTCTTGGACTGGATCCATTGGATAAGTGATGTTCATTCTGTTCTGAATGAAGTCAATGGGCCTCAAACAGGGGTTATCTTCCCAGTCGGCCTCTTGGTAAGTCAGTGGTCTGCAGTTGAGACAGCCCTCTATTTCCGTGATTACTGTTCTTAGTGAATCCTCATCCAAGATCCGTCGTCCCACAGCCTTGTAGAGGCATCGCTTGACAGATTGAATCAAGACGCTCGTAAAATCCGCCCTGCCACGGCGCATATGGAATAATTTTGATCCAGTTCAATGGATTGATCTGCCATAAACTTGTCAATTTCTTCCGAATCACGAGCGTTTCTTCAAACTGTCAGCCATGACTTCTTCCCCCAGAATGAAGGTGGGTGCGTTATCGCTGGTGATTGAGGCTGGTACTCCTCTTCTAGCGATGAATCGTCTCATCGCATTGATGAATGATACTGTAGTGTTGTCGTTGACAAGTTCAAGGTGTACCAATCTGGTTGTAGCACACGTTAGGATACAACCATAATTTTTTGCTATTTCCCCCGTCGGTAACTTCACTTTCAGCGGTCCGAAATAGTCGAGCCCGACATGTTCAAAGGGCCTCGACTCTCTAATCCTTCGTTGTGGCAATTCCTTCATCTTTGGGTAACGGTAGGGGAGGTTGTTTATTTTTTGACATACGACGCATTTCCTTATAATTTTTGTGACTTGCTGTCGTAGTCTTGGGATCCAGTATTTGAGTCGAACTTCGGCCATCGTATGTGCTGTGGAAAGGTGCATTTTGCCATGCGCTTGTTGAATAATCAAACGTGCGAGTATTGAGTTAGGTACCACGAATATAGGCTTTTTCGTGTTCTCAGATAGGTCGCTCTGTCCTAATCTTCCATGGCATGCCCAAATTCCATCGTCGTTCTTCTGGATATTCAGCTTCCTGTAGGCTGTAGATGATATTTCATCTTTATATTGCCTTTGATGCACCTTTATCAACATATTTCGAGACAATTTCAGTTCCTCTGCGTTAGGCTGGGCTGTGCATTGCACATCTTTTAGCTCCGGAATGGTTTTCTGGATGCGTCTTCTCGATTCTATTGGTAGTTTTGCTATTGTTTTTCGAAGAAAACGTAGTATCCAGGCTGTCATCCGTGTGAGCTTCTTTATAGAACTGAATCGGTCCCAGTTAATCCACGAGTTGGTGAGTTGCACGACGTTTACCATTGATTCCTGTGAAGGTAACTGGAATAGTCGTGTTTCAGGTGGCCAGTGCTCGGGTTTCTCTCGGAGGAATGTGGGGCCTTTCCACCAGTTGTGGTCTTCTAGTTCTTGTGCTGTCAGGCCTCTGGTAGCACAATCCGCTGGATTCGCCGTTGTGCTGATGAATCCAAACGATGTGTGAACTCCATTTTCGGTGAGCCATTGCACGATGCGCGCAATTTCTTTCACTCGGTTGGAAGCTAATACACCCAGCTGCTTGGTATCTTCGACGTTTTTCACCCAGTTGAGTGCTATTTCAGAGTCCGACAGTAAGAAGATTTCGCTGATTTTGATTGATGACTGGAGTTCTTCTGTCGTCGACTTTGCCAGGCGCGCTGACAGTGTCAGTGCGTTCAGTTCCAGCTTGGGTACTGTGTGCTTCTCCTTTAGTTTTGGTAATCTGGACTTCGAGATTAGAAGATGATGTTCATTGTCATTACAAAGGTATGCACATGTAGCCATTGCCATGCTACTTGCATCGCTGAATAGCACCAGTTTGTTGTTCCGGTGTTTGTTTGACACCCTTCTAGGGATTTGTTTGGTGAATCCACGAGTGTCATGGCATAAGTCGATCCATTGTTGACGGTCTTCCTTTTTCAATGGTTGATCCCAAGGGTATTCTTTTCTCCATAGTGACTGGAAGAAGACTTTGTTCTTTATCAAGAGTGGATTGAGCCATCCCATTGGGTCGTAAACAGACGCATTCGCCTTGGAGGACTGTTCGTTTGGTTACTTCTGGCAAGTTCGGAATGTCGCATTTAACTTGCAAAGTGTCCGATTGCGTATTCCATTGGATTCCTAGCACCTTCGGTGAGATTTGATGCGACTTGTCTTCCTTTTTGATGAATTTGTTGACCTTCTGTCGTTCGATATGAACTCGCGAAGATTCATATTGAGCTCTTTGAAGGTTTCCTTCGCTTTAATGTACTTCGTTATGGCTTCCTTTGTCGATTCTGCACATATAAGGAGATTATCGACGTAAAGGTTGTCATTGAGTTCACTGGCGAATTCTTCATCGATATCCGCTGTTTCTAGATGAAATCTGATTGTGGCGGCAAGGAGGAATGGTGAAGCATTCAATCCGAAGGTAACCCTCGTAAATCGGTATTCCACGAGGTTGTCGTTGTTAGGTGGTTTGGAAGTGTCGTGCAGCCACAGGAATCTTGTTGCATCCCTATCGTCTTCGTGAAGATGCACCTGTAGAAATGCTTTTTCTACGTCTGCAGATAAAGCTGTGCTTCCGATTCTGAATCGTTGCATCATTCCCACAATCTTAGGCAGAAAGAGGGGTCCCTGGTGTAATGCATCGTTCAGAGATGGTTTTCCTGCATAATGCGCAGAAGGCGTCGAACACAATTCTCAGTTTCGTATTTGGTTTTTCAGGAGTAATTACTGCCTGATGAGGTAGGTAATGGAGAATTGTGTCGGGCTTCTTCTTGCTGCCATGAATTGGCTCGATTATGCCTTTTTGGAGTTGATCCTTTATGACAGCATCGTATTCTGCAAGGAGTTCTGGTTTTTTCCTGAAGTTGGAGTAGAGATCCTTGTAGTCGTTTGATCGCTATGGATTTATTAGTTGGTAGGAGGTGACGTCCTTCTTTCCAAGGTAAATGGACATAGTAGCCGTCTGCACGTTTTTCGATGGTTTCTTTGAATCGTTTAGCAACTTCTTCATCTGTGAGTTGCTTCTCGGTTTTTTCTGGGCCTGTATATTCGTTAACTCCTGATGAGTCGAATCCCCAGTATTCATCGTATTTCTTCAACTCGTGCGTCATATCTTCGGGTTGAAGACTGTGCATTGGTGTCGCCGTTTGATGTTCGAATTGGCGTCCCGATAACATGTATCCGAACTTGGTTGATACCAGATACAGTCCCGAGGGTAGCATTTCGTTCTGCTGTTCCATAACGTTCCAGAGATAGTCACAACCTAACAGGATCTGTGGAGTGTAGGGCTCTTCATCTAGTTTGCTTGAAAGCTGTATGTGTTTTCGATTTATGACGTGAAGATCGTCTTCCGTCAAGTTCGCTTTCTTTGCATGGCCCGTTAGTATGGGACTGTCGTATAGGTGGAAGGTGTGAACCTTCTATTTTTGTCAAGTAACTTGACTTTTACTACTCTGTGCCGATTTTCAGTCACTTCGTCAGATCCGAACATCTTCAATCGAAGTTTCGACGTTTTGACAATCGGTAGTTGTAGTTCTTCCACAAGATTTTTGTCGATGAACGATGCTTCCGCTCCCGTATCCAGCAAGATTTTGACTTCTTTGAGCCATTTTTGCCCAGAATAGTCGTGGTTCCTGTTAAGAGTAGGACTTCTGCTCTGCTGGCTTCGCCAGTGGCATGTTGGTCCCTTTTCTCGTTGTTGGGCACCACTGTTGCATCGGATCCTTGTTGAACGATTGCATTCTGGTTGATCGCGGGAGTGTTTTTTGCCTTTCTTTTTGACGTTGCATTCCTCGTATTTTGTGCTGGTTGCCGTATTCGTGCTGCTTGTTGGAGCACTGGCTGGGTGAAGCTCGTTGAGATTTGACGATTTTCTGGCGGATTTTGTATTTTCTGCTGGCTGACTTGAGCCATACATAGCGAGACGTGATGCATTTTGCCACATTTTTGACATGGAGGGCTCAAGCATACATCTACTGTGTGGGACGGCTTTGCACAGTTGAGGCAAAGCTTATTCCTTCTCAGAAAGGATGCTCTCTCTGTTATCTTGATTATTCGACAGTCGGCGGACTGGTGGCCGAATCGCTTGCAATATATGCAAGTGAGTCTGTTGCCACGGATTGGTTGCATGGGTCTTTCTGCAGGGCTTTCTTGAATGGCGTTTATCTTGTTTCGCGTTTGTTCGACATATTCTCTTCGTTGGAGTATGCCGCTAAGCTCTTTCTGCATTTTTGCCCATGTCCAATCCTTTGGATTTTCCAGATCGGCTCGTTTTTCAAGTGTCCGCGTCTGGATATCCTTCATCGAACTTGCTAAAGATGATGTTCAGCAGGATGCGCTGGTCAACTTCTTGGCCATTTATGGCTAGTTGACTCATCGTTGCTGTAATTTTCTCTAGTAGTTGGATTTGAGACTTTGTGTCTCTTTTTTCCGCCTTGCATCGTTGCAGATCTGCTAGAAGATCTTCAATTCTCGAATCGCTATCGCCGTATTTTTTCTGGAGACAGGCAATGGCTTCCGGATAGTTCTCTGCAGATACCTGGTACCTCGAGACGAGTTCTCGAGCAGGTCCTTCCAAATACTGCCATAAGTAGTTGAATTTCAGCATAGGGCTGATATCCTGCTCGTGGATATTTGAAGAGAATATGGTCCAGAAGTTCTCCCATTCCGATTTCTTTCCCGCGAACTTGGGTATTTCCAATCGCGGTAGATACGGCGGCATTATCGGAGCGATTGCTGGAGTAGTCGGTGTAGAATGGTACGATTGGTCCAGTGCGTTGCTCCTTGTTTCGTTTCGTGTTGAGTGAAACACGGTTGATCGAAGATCCTTCACGAGTTGTTCTACTGCTGCTCTCTTACCGATGAGATCTGCGCAGAATTGATCTGCTTCGTTCGTCTGTTCTGCTGCCAATTGGAGGATCTCTTCGAAGGAGTCCAACTCTGCTTCTTGTTTCGTATCCTCCAGCATTTCGAATGCCACATGCAGCTTCTCCATTGATTCGTTGACGCAATCCTTCAGTGATTGAATCTTCGCTCTTGTGGCTTCGATTGCTGTTTTTTCGTTCATGAGATAGTCCATGTTCTCATTTTGATCCGTCGATGGCGTGGCGATCGGTGCGAGCACCGATTGAGATCCTGTGACGGCTCCTTTCAAGGCGTTTCGAGCATTGGTGAGACGAGATTTAGCCGTTTTGAACATGTTCTGTCCTTTTTGTTTTTATGAGGTACGAAAAAGTGTTGCGAAATAGCAGAACGTAAAATCGATTATTGATTTTTCTGGCACCGGATTTGTATCGGCCGATGCACCATAAGATCAAAAAAATGTATACTGAATGAGGTGAATAGCCCAACCTGTCCTTTATGATGGTCCAGTGGAGGCTTCTTCCTAATCGATCACCCTCTTGTGGGTTTTCAGCCGACGGTTTCTTTTTGGCGGTAGGCCACTCCGAATACAGTCGAGAATTAACAGCGGCTTGTCGTACCACTGCAGTTGAAATCTTCTCGAACGTCTTCGGATCCGTCGATATTCCACTGTGAGAGCTAAATAAACTAATTAGCTGGCAAGGTAATATTAAGCAATTGATGGAGGACAGGTAATAGAGGACTAGACCGTCCAGACAGTAGACATTCTAAGACCTTGGGTAATTGAATCGTTTATTGTGATTATTCATGGATCAAAAACGTTTGGCTATCATGTCTAGTGTAACGTAGCATATGCATGAGGAGGCTCACCAAATCCCTAGCCCCAGAGATCCAGACGAGATACTGTAAGTGCGAGACTTTCGCAATAAGTGAAAAATCCAAGGCAAGTAAACAGGCACAGGGGATACATTGGCTAACGGCATTTCCAGTACTTTACAATTTATATACATTATATTTATGAGATCGGCCTCAACGGCTTTCCGCGGCTTCCCGCACATCATGGTGGGAACCTTTCGCGCACAAGTTGGACTTGTTCAGGAGGATTCAGGCCTACTGCGGCACAAAAATGACAGTTTCAATTTCGCACAGTTTTCCCCGAAATTCAAATTTCTGAATTCTTCTTCTTCTTCTTATTCTTTAGCGTCTGTCCCGCTTGTAGGCGGGGTCCGCTTTTCTGATGTGTTGACGCCACTTCTCCCGATTAAATGCTTGATCGGGGTGGATGTTAACGCTCTTCAAGTCTTCGTGCAACGTGTCGAGCCATCGCTGCTTCGGACGTCCTCTAGGCCGCTTTCCGCGCACGTCAAGGTTGAGACCGATCTTACGGACACTGTCCTCATTCGCGCGAAGAACATGTCCATACCATCGGAGACGGGCTTCGCGCATTTTATCAACAATCGGAGCTACACCGAATCGCTCCCTGATGACATCATTACGAATGCGATCTAATCGTGTGACTCCGGCTGTCCAGCGGAGCATCTTTGTCTCCATCACACCGAGACGGGCTTCAACTTCTTTGGTCGCAGGCCAGCACTCAGCACCGTAAATGGCGACCGGCCGGATGACGGTTCTATAGATCTTGGATTTGAGACGCTCAGGTATTCTTATCGCAGAGAACGCCAGTCATCGAGCGCCATTTCAACCAGGCTGCATTCACGCGAGAATTCGTTTCCACGACCAGGCTGCCGTCAGACGCAATTGCTGATCCCAGATACTTGAATGTTGTTGTACGTGTGAGCTCAGTACCATTGATCTTAATAGAGCCTGGCTCACTCGGATCGGTGGTCAAGTACTCTGTCTTTTTGACATTCAACCTGAGTCCGAACATAGCTAGACGGTCGGACCAGGTTTGCACCTGTTGCTCAAGCGTGCTTTTATCTTCGCTAGCGAGCATCACGTCATCAGCATAAAGAAGCGTCCATGGTACCGGCTTCTGGAGATCTTTTGTAATGGCATCCATGACGACAACAAATAGCAGTGGGGATAACGCAGAGCCTTGGTGTACTCCGACAGAGATGGGAAAATCCGTCGATGTGCCCGCGGCCGTTTGCACTCGGCTCTTTGGACTCGAGTACAGGATGCGCACCCACTCAATAAGCTCTTCGGGAACGCCATGCTGTCGTAAAGCATACCATATAACGTCACGTGGAACGCGATCGAAAGCCTTCTCCAAGTCTAGAAAGGCAAGATGTATCGGCTTTTGTTTTTCGCGATGCTTTTCTAGCAGAAGGCGAGCGGCGTGTATGGCATCGATGGTGCTGCAACCAGCAACAAAACCACACTGGTTGGTGGTCAGCTCGACGACGTCACGGATACGACTGTCTACAATTCGCTCAAAGATTTTCATGCTATGCGAGAGCAGGCGAATTGGACGGTAGCTAGTGCAGTCCGCAGGACTGCCTTTTTTCTTCCAGATTGGAATCGTCGTGTATCGCTTGTG